AATGAAACGTCAGGCACCATCACACATCTACGTGATGTGGCCCTTCCACCTTTACTCACGAAGTTTTAAGTGGAGGCTTTACCCGATGACTGAAAGTGTTGGTGTGATCGTCGATATAGTTTGTTGAGAGATGAATATTCTTCAAGAAAATTATAGTCGGCGACTTCCTTTGCTGGTCACCATGTATTCTGCCCTCTTGTAGAGCTTTTGATGATATTAAGCAGAACTAATTAACCAGGTCACAGTGCCTCCTAATCCTCCACTTACTTGGCTTACTGCAGTTTTTTCAGAGGTCGTACCGGTCGTCATCAGAACTGCCTGAAGGCATGGCAAGTGAGCCTCCTTGTTTGTTAATTTTCTTACTTCCACTTTGTCCGTGAACATTCTCTCACTAATTAGGGTAACTAACATCGGCAAAAATTTAGTGAAATCTTGCAATATTGCCCTTCCCATAGATTAACTTTAGTAGGAAGGAATTTCTTGAATTTTCAACCTGCAGTGCATTTGTATGTTTCATCTGGGCATTCGTGAAGGCCTTATAAGGCAGAGAGGTGTGGAAGAGCATATATTACTAATGGAAAAAGGCCTGGGGGCGGGTCCGTGGTGGAGGCACAGCCTGCAGTGCCCGCAACTGTAGCAGGAATTATGTCAACAAATCAAACTCCCTGCATTACCCCAGCGGCAATTTTGTACCAGTTTATAATCTAAAGAAGAAATTACTGCAGATGAGGACGTACTTTTTGCCACTTGACGAAGATCATAAACATTTTAACTGTCACTTTGCAAACTGCGTACTAAAGATGAAACTACGCTTCGCACACCTTAACCTGCTTAACCTTCCACACTACGGGCGATGGTGCTAGCAAAATAAGCAGGTCAAAAATTTCGGCATCAGATTATAGAGAGAGAGGTATTCTTCAAGCGAAAGACACGAACTCTTTGGGTCTAAAAGAAGGCTTTCGTTAATAAGCACTCGTTTCATGTAGGAAACATATTTAAGCAAGAGAGGGGACTCTAATGTTGTAGTTACAATGGTACTCTAATCCTAGAGATAAAATATAGCCTTAAAGGTGTTAATTCAATCGCTTTGTCTAATGCATTTAAGCAGGAAAAAACTGTCTCATTTGGCTGCCTAGTTTAGTTATTGACACCTTCTGTTTCTTATGTTTTGCTATTGTGAAAGTGTATCGTTACAATAGATTTTAATTTACATTTTTTCTCTATGTTTAGCTTTCTCAAGGATATGTTTTATATAATACCATTTGTAGGATTATAAACTCTTAGACAAGCGCACTGGCTCAAAGTGTTCTGTTACGATAGAATATTTTGGCTTCACAAACAGACACCAAAACGTCTGACATGCTACTAAGTTGAATAGTGCTGATTTTAAGGATTATACTTACCCACCCATCCATCCGCCCATCCAACCATCCTTTCTACTGCCATGAATTCAAGGCAGTGGACAGCAAAGTACAACTTAACTGAAATAAGCTATTATACATCAAGTGTCAAAAAGGGCTGCATAAATGTACAAATAAAACTAAAGGTAGTATTGGTGTTCTTAACCAGTGAATAGGATATTTGAATTTCTGCGCTATTTAGGTTATGCTAGGCTGTGTCGGTTCGTGACAGCTTTTGAAGGCTAAGGTTGTGACTGTTACTTGAGCGTCCACGACATTGGGAGGTTAAGAAACGAATTATGACCCTCTCTGCCCCCATGAGGGCAGATGTCACCTCAGCCAGTCGAAGTTATCCTCGAGATGACCTGGAAAAGGCCCTGTAAAATGCCTTTTAATCGCAGCAATGTCAGGTCAGGATGCCATATGCAGGTTTTGGACATTCACCAGAGGGCACACCCAAGTGACTTAAACAAATAATACTTAATGGTGTTAAATAAAGGAGGTTGAGGACACAGCAAAATATTCCGAATGTGAGTGATGCTCACCTGCATTTTCACTTTCGCATGGCATGTTGATGGATCGGCCATTACATGCAATCGGTCGACCGATCGATCTATTTTAGCCCGTATGCTATGAGTCACCCTGCTTTAGTCAATAATCGATTTGACGGCGGGAACTCCAACATTTTCACTGGTTCAATAATCACTGATTTGGTACTTAATAGAGCACTGAAAGGCGGGAATTATTCGTCAAAAAGTCGGTTGCTATAATTCGCTGGTGGGCAATAACTTCTGTCCCAAAGAGTCGGTGGTCGTGTCAGTGGATCAGGCAAGTTGTTGTTTTCCGGAATCAGGGTTGAGTGGTTTGAGTAAGCCAAACAAAGCATATTTTCATTTTACTTTAGCAACGAATAAAACTGAAAACGATTTAACAAGTGTCACTTTTTGTTGACCAGAAGTAATTCAGTCTAGGCACATATTCCCTTTGAAAACTTTAGGAACTTGGATACTTATCTTACACGAAAGATTTCAGTTAGTGATATTTAAGCAGAATTTTGTGAGAAACAAGAATCCATGGTCTTAACGCAAAGCCTAATTAGGTTTTGAAAATCATACGACGTTAGGAATGAAGTGTAATGGTGATCAAGAGGAGAGCAACTGCTGACTTGATGCAAAAGTGTAACCTCCCTTGAAATCAAAAAGCATGTCTAAGTGATTATACTCATTACTTGGCAATTTTTTGTTTGGCATAAAATTGGGCTGAAGTAAACTTTGCAATTTATGCATTTTCCCTTCTTATTTGCATATTTTAAATAGGAATTAGTGTGCTAATTACTCATTCAAAAGAATTTTAAATCATCCTTTATGTGACAAATTCTTCATAGATACTTACGAAAAGGCTTTTGCGTGCAACCCGCAGTTTATTTGTCTGCTGCGGTAAGGCTGTTACACCAGAACGCTCCCACCTATTCTTTTTTTTACTTTATTTTTGGAGTTGCTCTTAAAACTTCCGCTCGTCTACCTTCGTTATTGTTCCAACCAAGGAAATGTCTATTTTTAGCCCCACTAGCAATAACCGGTCTTAAAGCTATACTTTCATTAGATAGAAAAGAGTGGGATTTGTCCATAATGCAGATTACGCAATGAAAAGGACTAATTTTGGGTTCCAATGAAGTCCCTAAACACCAGTGGAAGGAGTTTTAGCAAACTTAATTTAAAATCCTAAATGTTGTGGCTATGCTTTTCTCCTCCATCCAAAACTTTCATTTGATATTTGACAACTGCAAAACATACTGCTGGCTGGCATGTACCTTAAATTTTACAATTTTTACAATTTTGACTCCCGGATCAGTTCAACGAAAAAATATTTATTTAAACCTATGGGCGTATTTTTTGTTTCCACTTACCACAATTACGATTAGTAAATGCAATCCTGATGAGATTTTCAATGGTGTAAAAGGAGACATTGATATCTAGCGAGACTGTTGTTCTGTTTCATCCTGTCCTGGTAGGTAAAAAAATTAAAATTAGCCAGCGTCCATTAGTAGATGTGGAAAGTTTACTTGGGTTGGCTGTGTCGATTCGAAAAAATATTAATTTGGTGCAATTTGAAGCAGAGGCCACGAAAGCAGAGGGAAATAAGGAAGCGTAAATTAACCGAGTTATCAATTGTCAAAAGGCCATGCCTCCAAGACGGAGGTATAAATCGCGGAGGCTGAAGAGTCCACGCAGTAGTTTTTAATATACATACCTTATGCGAAAATAGCAAGAGTTACTAAGTCTTCTGGCTAGGTAATTAGTATTTCGAATGATTTTTTTTCGAGTCCAAAAAATTGCTAAAAGAACTTCATAAATCGTAGCGCTACCGCACTTATTTTTTTCAATGCATTTAAATTAATGATGCTTGCAAAGGTGATCCGGACAGTTCCTTTAAGCCAACCTACCTTGGTGGATGATTGCCTGCCCACGAGCCAATAAATTTGCCGCTGAGTGGTAGAGCTTTTTGGCAAGCCTTTATCCGAGCTCTGTCCGCCTACCTAATGTCCCTGCGAGCGTTTCTGCCCTGCACGAAGTATTATTTATTGCCCTTTACTCCCTCCCTCTGCCATTTGGCTTTAAGGCATGTGGTTGTCCCGTGAACTTCCTCCATCAGACCATCGATTGATAGGCAGGTAAGAAAAATCACGCACGTCCATTCCCTTCCACTGAATTTGAGGTGTTTCGGGGCTTTTTGGAGTCATACCATTCTCTGATTGGCTTTTAGTGCTTCTGCTTAATTCGCTTCAAAATCCATGAGGCCGAACAATTGTAAACTCGATCAACCTGATTGTTTAATCAACATTTGTACACTCCGAATCCGCATAAAATACTTTTCACCTCACCAAAAAGTCCACTTTTACTACCAACAGTAGTTTTTCCTTTCGAAACCGTTACAAGATCTTGTACATTTAGCTCACACATAAAAATCAAACGTCTCTCAAAATTTTTGCCGTTACCTTGTGCCATGAACCCCTTTATGTCACTAATAGCGCCACCTTTGAACATCTTCATTACCAACAAACAATTTTTGCCATCATTGTTGAAATAGTTAAAGTGGACACAAGATTTCTGACTTTTTAATAAAACATTGAACACGGCTTAATTCTGAAATTTACGTTCCCAGATCCAAATCCAATCCCCTGGATTGTCAATGTTACATTTTTATAACTTTAACGAAGGGCAAATATGGCAATGTAGGTTGCAAAATAAGAGGATCAATTGTAATTTTTCAATTCAACTTCCTTCTCCCTACTTTGAGCTGTGCTGTTTGTGTCATGAGGTGAGTAAAGTATTGTCTTGCGAGACGATTGACCCGCATTTATCAGGCTACCTCAGTCACTTAGTCTCAAGTCCTTTCATGCTTCAATGACCAAAATTGTGAATCGCTGCTTTAGCCACCTTGTCAGATGGCGTAATGATTCTTTAGAGATTCGGCAAACAGGCATCTAGCGCCTTAAGACTGCTTGACATATTTGGAAATTTTAATCAACCTTACTTTTCCAACGAAATTCACTTTTCTAAATCATGATGGTAAAATATTAATGATACCAATATAAGTCACGTTTGCGGGGATTACGGTTTCTTGCCCTGAATTCAATCAGTAGAAAAGCAAACACTTTGGCCGCCATTATTCTACTTTTATAAAAGTATGAGGAATATCTGGTGAAAAAAATATTCGTTTGTTTCTTGATTGCATACTTGGAAATTTTGTTCGTCATGCCGAATACATGCACGCAATGATGCGAGGCGCAGTAATCACAAAGCACAGTGCTCTGGCTCCAGAGAAAAGGAAGCAAGCTCAAACAACACTTCTCTTGCCACAACCGCTCACCTCATTCATATATTCGTCAAATGTGCACAGGCCTCTTCATCACAACCTCATCCAACCTCACCAGCATCGAGCACATGCAAAAGGTAGATAATGCTACCTGCTTTTGGCATTGATGTCACTATGGAATTGACTACCCTTGCAAGCAGCTGCTGGTGCCACCACACTGATGGCAGAGCAAGTAAGGTTGTATTCCACTGTGCTACTTCTCCACGGGCAACGAGGAGAAGGAAGCACTTATTTAGCATGCAACGATCCTCAAAACTACCAACATTCTATTTGCTCTTCAGTGCTTCCAGCTCTACGCCTATCCGACATTTCTTTTTGGGGTCTGACACAATTCCCAGTGATTGAGCAATGTCGACTTTCCTTCACCAGGGATGGCCAATCACTGACAGCAGGCGTTTTGGGGCTTTTTTATGAGTTGCTGTGTAGGTGTGTCACCGCTTTTTCCTTTTGTTTTTGATAACCTTATCCCAAGTAAGGGGAAGATAAAGACTTCAGTTCAGAGATCGACTCCCAGTACCAATAATGAGCTATTAGGGGACCAGTAATGCGGATACACAAGGCGTGCGGAGTGTGTACCCGGTGGCCTCTCTGTTGGAGAGCCTTTGGATGGTCACCATTCTCTTGTACAACTGGTATTTGAAACGGAAGTAACATTATGGAACCAATTAGGGTAACAATGGAGCCTTTGTCCTATCTTCTGCCATTTGTCGTTTCCCTCCTGCCACCTGCCTCCGCGCGATATTAGCCAATGACAGCTCAAAGGAATTGCAAATACAGATGTACTTTTGTACTTCATAATGTTCAGGAACTGGGCACAAAAAGGGCAAAACGACTCCCCTACAGAGCTTTCTACGATGCTAAAATAGATGCCTTCTTGGATATTAGGAAACTATTTCCAAAATATTTGCCATACCATTCCTTCCAATGCCAGGCTTGCTTCACAAATCGCATTGGCAATGCCCCGGTTACCTCCAGTGTATGGGTGGTACGTTTTCGCACTGTGTCAAAGGCATTATCATCGCACTTATCTGATGCCTTTTACCACTTTGACAGGAGGAAATACTACCCGACGACTTGGTCATTAACATCACTTTGCAATTAACTGCTCGCGATGTAGTTGATCCGACCGAGGACATGGGCGGTGAATTCGATCGAAATGCTGTTCAAAGAGGAGTTCTTGATGATGCAGTGGATGCCTATCATACCGTTGCGTGGGCCGAATGCAACCCATTACTGCTGTCGGAATGTCAAATGCAGAGGTCCAACTCCTGTGAGCTCCACAATTGTGACCACTGTGGAGTCCACTCAGTAACACATGGCTATTCTTACATACGATATTGAAGCACATTCTGATTTATCCAAACTCCATGATCGGCTCAGGATGCTTACAATTTCAAAAAACCTCCCCCTTTTTGCATTTTCAATGACTAGTTCCCGTGGGATCCAGGAAACCGAACTCTCACGCAGTCTTTTCCGATTGGCTGATATCACACATCGATGTCTGGTGTCAACACCTTGGCTATGTTAAATCCGGCTTGAAGGGTCTGTCATCTCTGGAAGAAGCCAAGTTTCTTCTTTAGGTCAATCTAATTAGTCGAATACAGCTAATGTATGGCCTCTGTAGACAGCCTTACCAAAAAAAGAAGGAAGGCGAATCATGATCGGGATCATTTGCTTGTAGCAGATTAATCAAATGACATTTACAAGAAGCAGCTTTATCTGCGCATGAAGAAGGTATCTGAACCTGTAAAAAGCATCCGCCGCTTACAGCTGACCTTTCATAGGTAAAATAGGTTTTTAACTGCGCTGTCTTCTCTCCACCTTTCATCTGTTTTATTTGTGGACAAAATAAACGATTTGGTTGGAAAATGACAAAAATTATCAGATCGCACCCCTTTGATGGAAAATAAACAAACGATCCGTTCATTCGAAATAATTCATTATCCTCTCGATGACAGAATGGCTGTTTAACCTTGTTAAAATTTTCTTATTAGAAATGGGCTATTGCGGGCAGAAATCAAATCTGAAAGAGGACTTGTTTAAAGTCCATGAAAGTGTCACCCAACGCTTTCGTTTGTGTTCAGTCGATATGCGTGACATTTACCCAACGCTCACGAAAGGTCATGTCAGTTCATTTGTCACTAAACGCAAGTGACTTCACGCCATCTATCAATTAATTCGAAATGTCAACCGTATTGTCACATGGCTGTGAGTACAATATGTCGGGAGGTCTTGAAAAGTCCCAGCCTTTCTTCCACCAGAGCTAACATTTCATGATAGGGCTCAAACAAATTACCAACTAGTAAGTAAATTTTTCCTCTTTGTAGTTCTACTTTAATTTGAGTAAAATATCCACGAAAACCTAGGGAAAGTTGGAAACTTGAAAAAAAGAATGTCATTTTGTACAAAATTGACATTCTGACAAATGAAGTCAAAGGAGGATGAAACCGAATGCATTTGATTTATGAGGTAAATGAGTTAATGGCGTATTTGCACACAGCCTCAAAAATGATTGCAGGCAGCCTTCAATCTACTTTTGATCTCTTTGTTTGACGAAATTCCCTCCAGAGGACATCAGCAAGCCTCCAGTACTGTGAGCACACTTGTAGGCGACCATCTCAAACAGAATCGAAAAGAAATTTTATTTTGGTAGAGCAGTAAGGTCGCAAGTCGCCGGACATTCGCTCCCAGATTGCGCATTCACATTTTGGGGGAAAAAAATAGGACCGATTCTAATTGCCACTGTCACTTTGTCTCTACCATATAGTTACCACTAAGGATAGCATTCCAGATATTGTTTTCCATGTTTACTTTAGGCAAATTATTTTCTAACTACGTACTTTGTACTGTCTTGTCAACCTCGTATTAAAATACACTAAGATCGAAATGACCTCTACTTGGCTGGGGATTTTCATCCCCCTCGGCTTTGGATTTCTGGGAATAACGACGCAAACGCACTGAGAACAATTGTGCATGTCAACTTTTTGGCCATTCAGTTCCCGTCTGAAAACAAGGATGAGTTGGGTACAGAAGACTTTTCTCCTCTGTTCAACGGGATAGTATCAGATCAAAGTCATACAGGTAATCCTTGTTTTATAATTATTTGTAAAATAACTACAATTCCAGGCCGGGGTATCTATAAATGATTTACCTCTAAAATTCCATAGGGCAGTAAGTCATTCTTTACAAAAAAACACTCTCTCTCGTAACATTGGGCAAAATCGTGGGGTACTGCTCCCAAATCAGATCACTTCCGTACGCCGGCATAGAGGCAAAACAAAGTGATTTATTACATTTGGTTGGCAAAGCTGCTACTGTCTTACCATTTCCAACACTTTTGCTACCAGGGTCTCAAACACAATGTCAACCACCACACCCTGGATGTTTTCTCTTTCCGATGTGACGCTACCACGTGACATTCACCTTTTGATTGACACAAGGTCATTCAAGGAATGGAAGAAGTGTGTGCCTTTTTTAGACCAAGAACATCAATATAAGCATATGCTACTGTTTATTGTCAATCGGTCGGTTTGTGACACACCACCTTACTGATAACTTGTTTTCAGTAAGGTGACAAAGCACACATGTTGTACGTTTACGGTTTAGGCCAGAAAACCTGGGCCTAATGTGCTGGCAACGAAAGTTTTGACAATGAAAATACTACGAGGTGCTCGGTACTTGCTGCTGGATTTTGAAATAACTAGCATACAGAAGGGGTGACTGGCCTAGGAGCTATCAGAATAGTGTGGCATACTTATGGTTTAAAATAAACTAGTCTTCTTTACTGAGTGCTGCACAGAATGGGTTTTACCTCCTAGTTAAGCTTTCACTAATAATTAATGAAGCAATTTCTAACACCTTCCACTACCACACTCCCCCCTTTGGGAGGGAAATGGTTAAGGCTATATTTTTTACAATTTTTTAGCTACTTTTGTTTTATTTTCCTGTTTCTAGTCGAAGATTTTGCCTCTTTTTGCAAGACTCATAAGTTATCTGTAATTTCATGATCTCAAATAGAGATATTAAGTTTAAAGAAAATTTCCTTCACGATTCCACTTATTGATGCTCAAATTGGAAGTCAATAAAGGAAACAAATTTATGTACGAAAACTCACTGATTGTCCAATCAACAGCTGTATGATCAATAATTTACTGATTTATTGTTTAATGATTTTACTCACAGACTAAAACTTTTCTTCACTAAAAAATAATCATAACCTTTAGTTTAATATTACCATGACCTTTGCGTAATAGGTTAGGCACTTATCTCTCCTGTGGACTGATTATGGAAGGGCATCCCCTACTTGGTGGCATCATAAACGGGGTACAATGATGAGGGTCATGCTTTCTCAGGGTAGACTTCCCCTTCGGGGGTGCACAACGTCCGTTCCACAACGAGATTCGTGTTCTCTGACCACCTCCCGTCTGAAGAAATACTTACCTCTTCTAAAATTAACTGCTTCAAACCTGTTATCAAAAAAGGAAGTCACTGTCGGAAAGGTATGAGTGAATCCAGCAGTATCATATCAGATTAGCTTTTTATGCCAGCACTTCCCCCACCTTTGGATGGAGTTTTACCATAACGGGAGCATCATGAACAGGCTTGAAATTTAGGTCGGCTGCGAAGAGCCTTACCGCTTTAATTAGCAGAGGTACCATTAGAATCCACAAACGACACGATCTCCTTCAAGCTAACGACCCTTTAACGACTGAGGTTCTGTTGAAACGGTTTCATTGCGTTTTTAGGCTATCATCTCATTGACATCATTAAAACGTTTGGGTGTGGGCAATTTTTTTTTTCAAATTTTTGGCAATGACTTAAGAGTAATTGAGTTCCAAGTAAATATTTATCCCACCAAACTGTTTATCCACTGTGGCATTCATCCAATGTCTTGAGGTAATTCCGCCCCCTAAAGCCACAACTCCAAAATTAAATGTTAAGGTGAGCAGGTTTACAGAATCCTTTTATGAGCCGAAGGGTCTTGTTAAAAATAAAATTTCCAACCAATCCCACGGTAGGTGGAGTGATTAATTCCACCGCTAGCACATTGAAAGGAGTTATTAATGTCCTCCTTTAATCAGCAGAATTTGCGAGGCATCTCTGTTGTGCTGCTTGTTCAAGTCTGGCCTTAAACTAACAAGACATATAATACTAAAAGTTACTCATGAAACATAAAGTGTGGGAGAATTCTACTTGAAAAAATATCAGAACCTAATATTGGCGTCAGTCTTTAAAAAGGTAATCCACGAATGTTTTGAATTTTGCCCTTTAAAATGGAGCAAAAGCAATAAGTTTATAATCTCCTTAGCCTACTTATGTTATTGACATTTTCACCACGAGCGTCACATATGTGTGACGATTTGTTTTTTATCCGAATCCTACATCATAGGTATGCAGTATGCATTTATTAGCATTTTATGGTAGAATAGATGATCTGTGGGTAAATACACGTTTTTTAACCTTCTATATGGCACCTAAATATGTCATTTTGGTGGCAATATTTTGTTTTCATATTGGAAGAAAAGTCAACTCCAGTGGGCTATGGTGGCCAACATTTGAAAGCTTACCTTATAATCTGCAATAATTTTAACGGGACTAGTTTAGATCTGGGCCCATAGAAACAAGGGGGACTGCAGATCGTATGTATAATCCGCATTAAAGTAGATAAATGTACAAGCATTTTCGGAATTTCCCCACAAGGTAGTAACAAACCTTTGTTCAGTCATCCATTTACAAAGAAATTTTGGCCGATACCACCCCGTGACACGGACACGTTTTGTTAGTTGGGATTCGCAGCTGTTTTGGGAACGTGGCTTCAACAAATGCTCGTCGCCACGCAGGACAACACGGGCCGCAAATTACCAGCTTGTAGTTATCGCCCTCTTATGTTTGCCCTTCATGCGGAATTAATTTTGCCCTGCTTTTCAAGCTGTCGTTCTTGTTGACCAGTTGACGGCTAGTTTCTAAAACTGTCCGGCTTTTGTTGTTGGCTAGTACAAACCTCCACAAATTCTTTAGGCAATCGGCTTTAAATTTCCACTTGGATTTTTGAAGATTGGAGGCAAACTTTGCCATATTTTGCCTTCTGGCAGGGGTACATTAAGTGATAAATTTACGGGTTGTTTTGATTAATGTGGATGATAAGGATGGCCGCAATGCTGATACATTGCCTTGCACGCGCTACAGGGTGGCTATGGATGAAAAGAGGAATTAAATTCCCCTCAAATGCCTCTTTTTTAGCTACAAAATGGCAGGGAATGTGGAATTCTTAGTTTCGCCCTTTTTATCACTTGTGTTACACGCCTTCATGGAAAGGTCTGGTCGTTTCGAATTAATTTTTCAGAACTTTCAAGGCTTCCGCAGAGGCAGTCCCTGTAGCAACGACCTGACCCTGAAATCGTAAACAATTGGCTGATGTGACGCCTCATTCAAAGGGCTGAATAAAATAATGTTCCAGTAAGGATTTAACTTTCGCTCGTTTTTTGTTTAAGCAAAACCACCGGGAACGCAACCTTCCTCCTAGTTTGTTAAAGATCTGCCAACGGGAGCAGATCTGAACCACAAATAAGGCTCTAATCTCTCTCGCGTAGTCTCTAACCGTTTGGGCCAAGGGAATCAAAACTAGACCAGGTTCGTTCGGAATTTTCATCTAGCATGACCAAAATAGAGGACGAAAAGAAAGACTAACGTCACGGACTTGAGGCAAGTTATGAATGGTTGCTTTGAGGCTCTGGGTGTGTCCACCCACGCTCCTGACTTTACCCTCCCTTGTGGCCATTGGAGGTTTATTTTTTATTCCAAAACGCTGAGTTAACTGATCAAGCTTTTGCGAGCCATGAGGAATGTTAACGGTGAGGAAAAAGTGTTCTACACGCTACACCTGCATTTCGTTCTCCCGCCCTGTGGTTTGCAAAACTAAAGCAAAGTGGTGCTTTTTCAGAAAAAATGGGAGATTAGCATCAGGTTCTAAAATAAAATAGTTTTAATATTTTTATCATTTCTTTGTAAATATAATGATTCATCTCATTTTTTGCAAAACTTGATAATGTAATACGTTAGTCACTTGTTTAGCCCTTCGTTTTGATTTGGCATGGTCTCCGGGCCCTCAGCCCCTCTCCATCTCGCAACACATATTCTGTCCTTGTAAGTGTGTACTTTTTCACCGTCACAGAAGTTTCGAGACACTAGGCTAAAATGGATAGTGATATCTGAGAACCTCAAGTGCACTTATTTGGTTTTCTCCGAAATTGCATAACTGAATTACCATTGTGTCAAGCCCTTTTAAAACATTTGTCTTGCAAAGTTGCAAATCACCTCAACCTTGCCTACGCACCAAATCAAGTTGGTAGGCCTTCTTAAATTGACTTAACTATTTGTGGTTAGTGCTCACCTCTGCCAAAAGACAGGCTTGGTGACA